TTATGTAAATTCATTTCACATAAAACTTCCTATGAAGTGCATAGTCTATTTATAAAAATAATTTCTCTGTTCTTGAAATTTTAATCAGAGAAATTTCTATAATCTTTTGTGTACATTATCATATTTTGCCACATCTGCCAATATTGTGTGAATTTTTTTAGGCACATAATAATTGTAATCCAAGTGTGTACATATATACTTTTATTATATTTCTAATGTACACTCTGGTACTTGTCGATATTTCACTTTTCTTCCCTGTAAGCATTGCCATTTTTTTTAACACATTCATTAGTTGGAAAGTAATGAAATTGAGCACTATGTACGTTACTGAATCATATAAATAGGTGAACCGTATCCTCGATCAGATTTTGCATCGTGTGTCGGGGATCGGCTGCAGCAGCTAGGTACATACCCCTCAAAGAATGGCCAGGGCCAGCGCGTAAGATCGCGCAGACGATGTGACAACGTTGCACGGTCGATATGCTCTTTCAGGCAAAGTGCCAAGATTGGTAAACGCACGCGGGGGTATATAGTCGCGGTTTCAGGTGCCCTTCCCTCCTCTAGCGCCCGCGTTTTATCCCCACTGCTGCTCCACCGACTTACCCGTGGGATTCGCTACGATCGTGGGGGGGACGAGCAACGAAAGTGGGGGAACTGAAGCTGCGCAGAATGCAGCAGACAAGCGTCGCTGTTTGTGCCTTTGCGCACCTCTTACATACATATACCCGACGACCTCCTATGTACTACATATGTATTATACTTATTATTTTAATCATGATTTACGGCTGCGGCGTTGCCGGTTCTTCTTCCAGGCACGCCCACTCTATCTCTTTTTTCGCTTTTTCCACTCCTAAAGCAACGTCGCTTGATCGATACTTAAAGAAACATGAAATAAAAAAATATGCATTTATCGTTATCATTTTGACGAACGAGCTAAAAACTAGCTAACGAAGGGGAAAAAATAAAGACATTTGATTTTATGTTTTTTGTTTTGTGTCCGTTAAAGGTTATCGTTGATCAGTGGTCGTGCGGCGTTGCCAAGACATAATGGCTGGCGCGACCTTGATTGGCCCGGTTTTTTCTATAGCGAATGTTGGGCCAGTCGTTTTGGCAACGCTGGAAAGCCATAGCGATCTATTTATAGTAGCTCTCTATTGCTGCTGTTGCTATGCCAGCCGAAGACTCGCTTAGTCTGCGAGGAGGGGAGTCACTACCAAATGGAGGGGGTAGAGATTGCTAAAGAACAATATGGCGTTGAACCGGATGAGCCCTCCATACATTCTCTTTTCTTTCTAACGTTTCTCTAACAATCAATATATCTGTTATTACGAAATCATCAAAATAAACATTATATAAGGCATTAAGATATCATGCATTTATATGAAACATACTTTACGATAAAACGAACGACCTACGAGTTACGATTTCATATATATGTACATATTTCATATATTTCATTGTAATGATGGAAGAGGATCATCCAAGTATGGGTATATCATTCTAGGTAGATGTAATTTTTTGCGCAACTCGGTAGAATTACACATGGCGGTGTACAATTCTAGCAGCTGACAAGTATCGTGGTGTGTGTCCATAGAACACAGCCACGCATGCGACTTGACGAAGCTGCCGCCTCGGGAGTGTTCGGCAAACTTCGTGGATACTGCCTCTTTGTTACATCATTCTTTAGCCTCCTATGTAGTATATAGGGGCGGGTATATTATGTACTACCGCCTGCACATATTTCCCTCCCAGCTCTCGCTCGCGTATATACTCTGTATATAGTTGCTTGTGCATATATGTACCGGCGGAGCAAATGGGCGGGGGATCCGAGGAACGAGCTGGACTCCGCGTTACACGAGGCGTAGAGACGGAAATCAAATAGAACGACCACTAATGTATATGTGTTTTTTATCGTTGGTAAAGTTATGAATTATAATAAAATAAATAGAAAATATTTTGATGGTCTTATTTCTTAAACGAACTATTAGGATTATAATGTTTTCAAATATTTCGTTAGTTTAATAAGCTTATGCTTTAAGCTATAGTTGTTTTGACCCTACTATAGTAATAAAATATGCAATATATAGAAAGCTTTTTAATGGAATTAATGAAAAAAAAAGTATATTCTCAATTTTGTACATAGTTCAGCTTTCAAACTTGCACATTTATGGATTGAAATAACTGTATCGCAAAACGTTAGTTTCCTAAGGGTAGATACGAAGAAAACCCAGTTTCTTATGTACATATGTATAGAACATCGTAGAATTTTTCTATACATACATATTCTATCTATATGTTTATAGACAAAAAAACTGCATTTTTAAAATCAATATAAAAATAATTGAAAAGCAGGATCAAATTGAATTTGTTGATGAACAATTTACAATCGTTTCTAACAATCAATAAAAATATTGCATTTAGGTTAACTGTAGTTTTTTTATAATATTATTATAAAAGCTGTAAAATTAATTGAATTTAATGTATCCAGAAGTAATATTATAATTAATATTTTACGCCGCAGCCGTAAAATTAAATTCATATGTGCTTTCCATAATCTTTTATTATTTAATTCAACTAACATTATGGAGAAATATAGTTACTTATTTGATTCAACAACCTAAACCTAACCTAAATTCAAGAAGCAAACATTCATATAATTTAAAAAATGAACAGCTAAAAAATAATTGCTTCGCATTTATTAAATATTTACTTTTAATAAAAAAAAGTACATCTTTCTATATATTTAAAAACTTTAATTATTTTCCTTAAAAAAAAGTGCGATATTGCCAGGATCACCTTACCGTTTGCTTTAAATAAGCCATGACGTCATCTCCTATATGCACACACATACAGAATGAAATGAGAATTAACATCCTTTTATTGATCACATTTGGAAATATATTAAAATTCAACCCCATCAGTGGCTTATCCAGTATGTAAATAATAAACAGTAATTAACTTATATTTACATAAACATATCAATCTTTAACATAAAATAGATATGCAGTTGCAATACGCTTCTAAAGTATTATATTTCTCAACTATATATGATCACGTGAGTTTCATGTTACAACGAAACCCGTAAATATTTACTAGCGCACAGATACGAAAAAATTTCGTAGTCACGTGACATCAAAGCAAATCTACCGCAAACAAATAGTGGATCATCAAAGAAATGGATCAATTCATTAATTTAAATTAACACACGTAGTGTTTACAAAGGAGTCGCCGAAGAACATCACCAAGTGTTTAATAAACAAAACGAATTCCACGTGTTGTTGTCGTTGCGATAAATAGTCAACAAAAGTTGCAGATGTTGACAGGTAGCAAAGAGAGAGCACGTTTTGCCGGGCCTCGCACGAGGCGCAGCTCGTAGAAAACAGAAAGCACGATGAATTCTAGGCGCTTCTACGCGGCAGCGGCAGCGAGGGTAACGTGTGATTGGACGTGGTAGGAAGAAGAAAAAGGACGGAACAACAAGAAATGTACAGAAGGAGAAGAGGGGGGAGGCGATACGCGCGAGTCTGGTGTCGCTGCCGCTACCGCTACTGCCGCCACCCATAACCTCAAATCTTACCTTTGTTGAGTCGTGCCTCGACGATCTGTACGTCTTCATCGACGCTGCTATCACTCATCTTCTTCTTCTCGTTAACCTGAATGTCCATGCACATAATTCCTTACCGCCGAACACCACTTTCGTCGCACGCTCGAACAACCCCTGTTGTCCCGTGACATTTACATTAAACTGTGCGCGCGCGTAAAATTCACACTTACGAGGAAGCTCGTCGCACGGGGGCGCCGCGAAATCCGCTCTTTTCGTCTATCCTCGTGTTGTGCTTTTCGACAACGCCAAAGATTGGACACACCACGATACAATCACCCACAAGATCCTAGGAGATAGACACACGCAATGATTGCCGGAAGGATACTTATTCGAAAATCGCGTGTATGCAATAGTATCACGGCCCGCGTTTTCTGCTGTTTTGTGCGGAGGTGAACCGAGAGGCCGACCGGGTTCCGTCCAGATTTGAATGTGGTACACGTTGCCAGTTCTTTCTCGTACCCCCCTTCCGCCCCCCTCCCATACGGCCTTATGTACTTAACGGTTGCGACGTTGCCGCACATCCGGTTCCACCAGCCGAGTAGTGGGGGTACGAGAATTTCGCACGGGAGTGGGGGATGTACATAAGTACCTGACAACGGCATAGTGGGGACTCGCGAAGGGGGTGGGGGTAAGCAGGGGGTTGTGTACATAGAGAAGGGAGGGGAGCGGGTTGTTGGGAGGGAATGGGAATTTTCCATGATGCTTCAGGGCAACGGCGACCGTTAGCTGGGTCACGTGGTTTTACCGGAAGTTGTAAGGGAGACGCGCCACGATGCGCGCGCCCTCCTTTTCCGTTCTAAGTTTTCTCGTTTTCTTCCTAAAAATTACTTCGTCATATTAAAATAAATAAATGTTTAATTGTTTTCTTTTTTTTTTTGTTTAATTTAATAGTTTTTTCGTACATTTTGTAAATAGATTTCACAACCGTTTGTTCGTTCGAAGTGTCAAGGATAAACTAGAGTTTCCTTCGCACGAAATGTAGCTATATTTTCATACACTGAATAGTATGTAAACAGTTTATGCAACTTTTTTCACTGAATCTCTGGGGCAGGTAAGTAAGTACGTAGATAGTATATAAAATGAACAGTCTTTTCGTGTCCTTAGATGAAATATTTCGTGTAATTTGTTAAAAACAAGTACATAATGTACAAAACAATTGTTTTCGAATGTTTCTATATTATGTGCAGTAATCAATTTATTAATGAAAATTTAATCACAAAAGCTAGACATTTGGTGCAATTATTTTTTTGGTATATTTTTAGAAAATGTTTTAATAAATAAATAGACAATAATAATTTCATTATTTTTTAATAATACACTATTTCAAATTTCATTGATTTAAATAAACCGATGAAACTCATTACAGCGAAATGTTATATTTCATTGACATTAAATATTTGATACAAAATCATTTATTTATCTTTTTATAAATTAAATATTTTATGTACAATTCGTATTTATGTGCATAAACATGTGACGAACGATGTAACATTTATACAATTTGAACTCCAACAATTGAAGTGGCCATCACTAATGAAAATAGCATTTATGTTTAAATTGTAAATTATTAATTATTGTAGTATACAATGCTCGATTGATTCAGTACCATGTTGCGTGAATTCTTCCATTTCTTTAGTTGCTAATAGGCCTTTGGTGCTCTCGGCTTCTTTCATCCACAGTTGTACCTGGTAATTATCGTAAGATAATATATAAAATTTATATATTTAAGGCAAATAATTATGAGTATAATATTAATAATAATTATAATAGTATAAGGTTAAATTTTATAGGTTATGTACTTAAAAAAAATTCTTTAACAATGATATTAAAAAGTATAATTAAATAATATAATTATAATTATAGTATAAATACGATTAAAATAGGGTTTAAGAAAAATTAGCAAGTATTTATCGAAAAAGAAAGTATTTAATTTCGTAAAAGGGTGTTCAACTGACACTTCTGACACCCCCCTCCTCTAGTTGCCTTCTTGTTGTATGTACGATTAATTCTGAGACACCCTGTATTTAAGTTTATTGTATATTTAAGTCATAAACTTAGATACTTTGTTACTCCCGCATCAAATTACCATATTTATGGCGGCCATCATTAAAATGCGTTATTATACTACACGTGGCATCACCAGGACTATGTATGCAAACTATCAACCATCTTTTTTTTTATTTTCCAGCCAGCCAGCTTCGTAAACTAGGTGCAATTTTATACCTGCATTCAAGCGGAATATAAAGGGAGGATACCACCCTGACGGTTTACAAAAATTGAACTCCTTTATTTTATTTTCTTACATATTGTGATCGAAAGTTGTAGATCTATGCTCTACGAGACGAACAGTACTTGGAATCGCTTACCATTTGGTCCTTCTAGTGTTAAATAAAATAAAAGTATAAATACGTACACCCGATATCGCATGCTCCATCATCCACTCTAAATATCCGTTCACGCAATATCGCGTGTTATGAATTCTTGACAAAAATTAGAAATAGGAAAGTAATCACCTGTTTATGTAACAAATCTCTTCGTCGTCCTGCTGGTTCTTTCCCCAACAGGGGTACCAATATCCCTAAACAGGCCTGAAATTTTTCTAACGCGAGAGCATAGTTTCCTTCTGCGAGATATTGTTCTGCAACCTCTCCTATCTCCAGCGCATCCGCCATACTGGGTGTAGTTTTACTAAGAGTTCCTATCAATAAATAGATAAGCACACACGTTAACATCTTCTGCGCATTATTAACTCTTCGTAGAAGAACATGATTTAATTTTTCTACACTCTTTAGGTAAATTGAATTGTCCGTATAATTCAGTTAAGTTAGCTTAAGTTAATTCAACATCTAAATGGTGCATGCATTAATATTGAGCGCTACAAATTTTCAAACGGAAGACCTTCATACAGTGAAAAAATAGTATCTAAAGAAATAGCATAAAATTTCAAAAAGGAAAACGAGTATGAATTTAAAATTAAATTTAAATTCCAAATCGTGCGTTACCTAAGGAGTGTTGAAAAATCGAATATGTATTTTTTATATTTCCTGATAACAGACAACGTTAATACGGGGTAATGCTTTAATTAAAAAATAATAATGAACACTTTCTGTATTTTTAAGTGGAATTCAACATTTGTTCGATAATTTGTATATTTTATTAAAAGAATTATCGTATTATAAAGATTTTTATACAGACGTAGCTCTTGATACACAAACGAAGTTCCTCTGTTCAAGAATGGTATCCATCGAATCGACGAAGAACTTCCTTTATCCTCTACTCGTGCACACTTCACTTTATCGCTATCGTCATCTAAATATGATGCTTTAAGTATCTCTGCTCTTCTAATATAATCATTAACATGGGATCTTAACGTTTCTTTTCGTTTCAAGTCTGTCTCACCTAATAAAGTGAATTTAAATTATGTACTTTCAACCTTCGTACCGTGGATGCAGAGTCAATTTGATCCAACTAAATGTACAATATATGCATAGAAAGTTTATTTATAAAGTTCACGAATAAAATAAAAGTATTCTCTGCATGAAATATATATAACAACCTCTCCGTCCTTGAAAATAATATGTTCGTTGCGTTCACGCGATATCGCGTGCTCAACCCACAGTGTTTAGCTCAACTGAATTGTAGATTAATTTATAACAATCAAAATATTATTAATTGGTTTTTCGTTAACAACCATTGGTGTCGAAAAGTCTTATTTAATAAGCTCCCAGTAAGTAAAGGGTTGAACACACAGATGAAAATATATTGCATTTAATGACATTTTAGTGATGGGTCAAAATGGGCCCTGCATCTGCCTACTGTCTCAATTCCATAACATCAGTCTTCATAGGAATAATTGTGTATTTAATTATTCATAATCATATACTCATTATTACTTGTAAGAATAGGAATAAAATATCTAAGAGCTTCGCAATAAAGATGAAAAGCTTCTTTGGAGTTTTTCTCACTATCCAATTTCACAGCTTTTTGTATTAATTCTACCGCCTTATCATAATTTTCCCTTGTAGGAGCATGAGACAAGTCCAGAAAATCATGGGCAAAAAAGTCATCGAATGTTATCCTTTCTTCGGGGTTGTGCTTCAATAAGGACATCAATAAATCTTTGCATTCGGGTGATATATATGATCCTTTGGGTAGCTATAGTTTATAATAAAAGAGAAATTGTTTTTCTAGTAAAAAAAACTGTATTATTTATATAGTATTGTTTATGAAATTCATGATTAGTGGAAAATTTGTATTTTCTTTACTTTTTAACGCGTTCGCTGCCGTTCACGCGATATCGCGTGTTAGATTTCCGATGCGATATCGCGTGCTAAATCATCAAAACTTAAACGTTATGGCACACAGCAATCGTCCAGCTTCTCCGATCCGGCAGCGAACGTGTTAATTAAATTTTTCAAAAACTAAGTGCAGGAGAAAAATAAATTACGGGTTAGTAGTCAGCGCATAAAATATATAATTTGTCAAACAGCATGGATTCTACTATTTACTATATTAATTTAAATTATGCTTTAGTACTACACTAGCTATTTATCTAATGACTTATACAAGTATAGCACAAAGATTTTTCTATCAACTTTACTTATTCTATCAGTTTTAGTTTTATTGCTTTTTGTGGTTGTTCTACCATTTATTCTACCAATATGAACCAATTATAAGCTTTAGTATGCTCTACCATTTACTGCACCAATTTAAATTAGGTTTTAGTACTACACTAATTATGTATCTAATAGTTTACATTAATATAGTATTATAAGTGGATTCTTTTACTTCACTAGGTGCTCGATAATTCCCTGTGAAAAACACTCTTTGTTCGTGTGTTCAGGTCATTACTCACGTATACGTTCTGCGCACACGCATTACTTACATACGCGCATGCGCTTCACTCCCTTGTCTAGTTAGCCAATAAGTGCATACCTATGTGACAGGACAAATGCGTTGCGAATAAAAGCATGCATCTCATTGGCGCTTGATAATTGTCCGTTTCTTAGAAAGATCCATTTATAAAACGCCAAAGGCTTTTGAATTATCGAGCAGCTACTTACCTTTCCATTTACTTACTCCGGTCTAAAACTATGTTTTAGAATTTTTTACTCAACAATGAAATATTTTTTAGCACTACATTTATTTATTTATTTGCCCAATATAAAGTAGAGTTTGATTCATTAAATTTTATTGTCCTTATATACATAAAAGCAGGTAAAGCAATAAAACTAATCTGCAAACCTAACGGTAAAGTGGACTTATGTTAGGTTAGGTTAAGGGGAAACCGTACGAATTACTTGGAGTACCTAACAGTGGTTCATTGTGAAAAATAGATTTATAATAAAATCACCTCAATAGGTCGCATGTCCTTGATCTTTTCAGCTAATTCCTGAAAACTACTGCTAGAATACGGAGCTTTGCCGAAAAGACATTCGTACATAATCACGCCAACGCTCCACAAATCAACACGAGCATCATATTTGTGTTTTAATAAAATCTCTGGCGCCATGTACAAAGGAGAACCACGGATGGTAAACTTTTGTTCCGAATTCGAAAGATACTGAGCGAAACCAAAATCTGAAACGAAACAGGAAAGAAGAAAAATCGTGGAATAACTATGATTGGAATCAATGAAACGAACCTCCGAGTTTTAGTACCAAATGTGGCTTTCTGGTTAGTAACAAGTTCTGCGGTTTTAAGTCCATGTGAGAGACATTGTGATTGCGTAGATATTTCAAAGCTAGCGCGAGCTGTTGTAAGAATCTACGACAAATCTGCTCGGGTAGCTTGTGCTTCTTCCTTATAAAGCTCGATAAATCACCGGCGTTACAGTATTCCATCACGATGTATATGTGCCTGCGTTATATAGAAGTGATAAACACGTTCTATGTTGTTTAAAATAATTAGAGAATCAATCTAATGATTTTATAAGTATTAGAAATACAAATTACTTCTCGACTCTCTGTATAATGTAACACGTATATTTTGTATTTATCATTTATTGTAAAATTTTATGGTTTTAGTATTTTAAAAGTATAAATTGTAAAATCCAGGGCAAGTGCCCCGATTGCTCAGTGTTAGGAACAGCTCTGAGAGTATATTGTGTCAAGCTAAGGAATATTTCATTTTCAAAGGATTAACCCTCCTAATTTAATATCATATTTCATATTATTTTCATTTTCTAAATTTTACAGTGTTCCTTAAAAAATTATTCTTCTAACATATGAACCCCTTTTGCTTGAAAAATTATACATTTAATTTTAAGTTAATACCCTATTATACGTTTTTTAAGTCTAGGTCACGATTGACCCAGACTCCGCTGTTCAAGGATTAAGGGGCTAAAATACTGTAACTTGGACAATCGACTAACCCATCGTCCCAGAAAAAATCTCTCATTTCCACTATATGCTCGTGCTTCAGTATCTTTAGGAGATTGATCTCGGTCACGAGATTATCGATAGCCGACTTGGAAAGCGACGATTTGTCTACACATTTGATTGCGACTACCTCTCGGCATCCATCCTACAAAACCAATCAACAATAGCATGCGTTAAGTCGCCTTGAGATAAACTTACTTTGGTTTTTTTTTTTCACTCTTCAATGCAACGACCATCTTTCTGGCTACCTCTCAAATAAACGGTGTCATTCGGTGGCCAAAGTTCAGTCATTAAAATGTATTTAAACAAGTTGCACTTGACTCCATGACTCGCTAATATAAATCAATAGTGAACCGACAAGACAGGGGAAAAAAACTGGTGCAAAGGTTTGTTTATGGTTTCGTGCAATCTTCGATCGACTACGTGGAATATACTTTTAACGTGATTATTTGTATAATACTGATGATATGATAGATTACAATATAAGCGGCCACTGTATAAAAGAGACATATTTATAGTTTAACGTAAGTGTTGGAATGCTTTGTTTCTATACAAATATTTTTGTTTTAATTATTATGAATTGAAATTTAAAAATGTAATGAACTTGTAGAAAAGCTATTCCCCTACGATTTCGATGATTTTTAAATATGTTGTAAAATTCAACATTTTAAGCAACTTTTTTCTTCTAAGCTATATGTCGAACTTGAGTAGTTTGCGAGATATTCGTGAAAAACTATGAGTACTAATGCATTGAACTTCCCCTGTATACGTATATGTCCGTGGCTGTGTGCGCGTCGGCAAGCAACCCTCGCTTCTCTACTGTTTCTGTCAGGACCACATGGCCCGGCTACTGTCCATACAACGGGTGAACTTAAACTCAAAGTTAACTAATTTCAATCATTTTGTCATTGGACTTGCGTGGCCGGCCGCCTGATTTAACCTAGATGTATAAATAATGGAAAAAATTATATTCCGTCAACGTTAGTATTATACATTGTGGTGCACAATGATTGGTTAGGTTACGTTAGGTTAGGTTGTATTATATTATACTATATTAATATTCCGGTCGCTTTTTGGTGGCCAGCCACTTGAGTCAAACGTCATAATTTGATTTTTCAGTTCACCCATTGTACGAATAGGAACCGGATCATATGGTGCTGCTTAAAACAAACGGTAGGCAAGCGAGCCGACGCACACGTGGCTACGGATGCATACGTATAGGCGGAATTCGCTGTGGTAATAACAATATATTTTCGCGTAAATTAATCAGGTCCGACATATAGCTTAGAGGAAAAAAGTTGCTTAAAATGTTAAATTTTACAACATATTTTAGTTATCGAAATCGGAGGGGGAGCGCCTTTTCTTATAGATATTTTTTTATGTCGTAACTTTCAATTTATCGTGCGTAACGTATCTAAAATTCACGGTAATCGGTACACGTGGAAGATTCATTAATTTTTCATTATTCTATTCAAATCAATTTGAACATATTAAAAATTTAATTCAAATATAAATATTTAATTATTGGGCAGATACGGTTATAAATTATCGACTTCACACCCGTGTTAGAGTGTTACTAAATTATCCGTCTAATACATAATCACTTACCGACCTATATATTATGGCATTGGAGTATTCTACTTTAAGTGTAAGCAAAGAGAAATAAAGTATTATGTATTATATTATACATAAAAAAGGTACTAAAGCTATAAGCATACTATGCGTTACTAATTAAAATTTTTACTACAAATAACAAACAATTGTTTCCATTGGAATAATTATGAAAATAGAAGTAGAGGAAATTATGCAAATTTGCAGAAGGGAAGAAAATTAGAATAAGAATTACTTTTATAGGTCAATAAAATACAAAATAAAAATTTAAATAAAAATATGTAATTAATTTAATAAATATAACAAACTGCATAATTTAAAAGGAAAAAATCGCGGCACCAGTTAATCTAGCTACAATACTGTTTTGTCATATGTTTTGTATACCGCATCGAACCACAAAATGTACTTACCTTTTTAAATGCTTTGTAAACAGTTGCATAACTTCCTGAGCCGATTTTTTCTAACAAACAATAATCACTCGAACTGGGCAAACTCATTTTGCCCGATAACCGTGTAATTCACTCCGACATTTACCTCAAATATTACAACACTATAAGGTTAGCTTTAATTTTGACGGAACAGTGTGAGGTTGCTGCTTATCGTTCATATTCGCAATGGCGTAAGACTTCAATATTATCATTAATTTCTAAATATTCTTTACATATAAACAAACATACGTCAGAAACAAAAATTCTTATATGATTAGTATTAATAGAAATACTATTTCAGTTATTGCTAAATTTCTATTTATTCTAATCTTGTTACATAATAGATGTAATTTGAATAGTTTTAAATAAGGTAAGAAGAAATTTATAACGTGTAAATAATAATATAACGTCACTTTTATAAAGTTTTTATTAATTTCAATCTTACTATATAACAAAGATAATTTTAACAATTTGAAATAAAGTAAAAAAAAATTATAATTTATAAATTATATGCTTTAAAAAAATTATATTGAGTATATTTCATGGGTTTGTATATATTTAATTTAATTTACAATTAATTGCAGGATTAAATTTTTCTTTGGAAATAAATTTATTAAAATAGCATTCTTCATAGAGACGCCCATGTATCAGCTGTGTCCCACAAGGAGCACACTTCAAGTAGTTGACTAGAGCCAGTAAAACGTTAGTTGGCGACGAGGACATTTCGTTGTCGCGTCACTGATAGATTTTCACTTCCTCGGATAGTATTACGTGAAATTTTGTGTTTATTCTTGTTCACCAATCACCAAACTTTAATTCCAACTAGAAAAAGCGAATATAAAATAAAGTATTTGGCTGAATCGTTAGGAAAAAAGGGCATCCGTACCGCATTACTATGGACGTGACAGCAGTGCTCGAGCTATAAGCTCGTTCCGTTTATCACAGCAAATGGAGCAGTATAGATTTACTTATGGATTAGCCTACTGATTTGTCCAGTGCGATGGATGAAAAGATTTTGAATGGTAATAACTTTGTAAATATTAGATATTGTGCAAGGTGTATTTCATGTTTGTTGAAATCATTGATTATGTTTTTAAACTGTTTACATTACACAAAATCAATATAATTATTATGGCTTGCAATATAACTATTTACATACATTATAATTTGCAAAGCGGTTAAATATGTGATTAAAATGAAAGTGTGCTGTATTTAAATATTTATCTATGAAAGTAATTCTCATTCAAAATTCCCGCTATAAGTTCCAATTAGTATATGTCTATAATTTTTGTAAGGTTATAATTACATTTTGCTATAATTTATCGTATACTTTATTATTTCAATTTATCAATCGTATAACTACTGAATACTAAAACAAAGCATTAAAAGTAATTAAAGAACAATGTAAAAAATCACCGCGATAAACAGAGAGCCGTCATTGGTTGACGTTTACATAGAAGCATTCTGATTGGCTGAGAGCACGATAGCTCATTCATCGTTTCTGCCGTGATAATAGCGTTCGGTGTATCAGCTGCCGGAGTTCAACTCGGATGTTTTGGCAGCTGATTTTATTCTCGTTTATGTCGCTCGAAAACTTTCTGAAGTTTCAGTCGTTCATATTATCGAAGGATTCGTGTTGTTCTTGTCATTCTGTGATATTTCATCGATAGTGTAAGTAATGAGAAATGGACGATAATGCTTCTTCCTTTATTCGGGAAGTAGAGAATGATGACGTCATGTACTGAAACATAAGCTGTTTTCACCTTGTTCCGATACAACAGTATTTCGCGGGTACAGGTGCGATACATTTCTTAATATCCATTGGATACAACTATATTTTTCATAATTACTCGAAAACTTCTGAAACCTTCTGTTTTCATTTAATTGTGGTGCTTTCATTGTTTGCAACAAAATGGAGTTTGAGGCATAACAATTTTTTGCACAGGTGCAAAATAGATAGAATAAAAGGATATATTTGTACATTGATTGCTAAATAAATCAGAGGGATTATAATGGATTCTGAAGAGGAAATGTATGATGATGTTGATTCTGGTAATGAATCCAGTGGGGATGATGTGGATTTTGCGATGGAAATAGAAGCTGGAAATCCAAGAGAAAGGGCAACGGATGTTGATGATTATCCTTTTGAAGTTTTGTCTACAGAAGAAATAGTGCAGCATATGGTTGACTCCATTAAGGAAGTCAACATTGTTGTGGAAGTAGGTTAAGAAACAAAAGAAAAAAATTGTGGGTCTTATATGGATGTAATTGGAATATTGTGTGATTTAATTGTAGATACCAGCAACAACTACTCGCATCTTACTAAATCATTTCAAGTGGGATAAAGAGAAATTAATGGAACGCTTTTATGATGGTGATCAAGAAAAATTATTTGCAGAAGCAAGAGTCATTAATCCATTCAGAAAGGGTCCATTAAATAGAAATCGATCATCACAGAGTTCTCTGGTGATTAATATTTATTTTTCTATCCATTTGTGTAACTAAATGGGAATGGATCTGGTCTCCCACCTATTTTAAAAAATTAAGATCAGACTCTAAAATTTTAGAATTTCAGAATTAAAATATTTCTAAATTTCTAAGGTACCTAGTCCATCTAGGAAAAAATGCTAGTTACACTAATATTTTTTTGCATATTATGCATGTAACATAAATAACCAAAATCATATTTACAGTCTCGAAGAACATCAACAAATGGTACAGAAGAATGTGGAATCTGTTTCACAGTGCAACCATCTGCAGTATGTATACATAATACTCAATCAGATATAATGTGCTGATGTTTGTGTTCAAATTACTTGTTTTTAACCAAAATTAGATGATGACTGGTCTTGAATGTGGCCATCGCTTTTGTACTGGTTGCTGGGGAGAGTATCTCACCACTAAAATAATGGAAGAAGGAGTGGGTCAAACAATAGCATGTGCAGCGCATGCCTGTGACATTTTAGTTGACGATGCCAGTGTGATGCGTCTTGTGAAAGATCCAAGAGTTAAACTGAAGTATCAACACCTAATAACTAATAGTTTTGTCGAAGTAAATATGAATACTCTTATTCATTAAAAAAAAATTTTCTATTATACTAATTGAATTATGTTACAGTGTAATAGGTTATTAAGGTGGTGTCCATCTCCAGACTGTAATAACGCTATAAAAGTACAGTATGTAGAAGCAAGACCAGTCACTTGTAAATGTGGACACACATTCTGTTTCCATTGCGGTGAGAATTGGCATGATCCCGTGAAATGTCATTTACTGCGTAAATGGATTAAGAAGTGTGATGATGATTCCGAAACATCAAACTGGATCGCCGCGAATACAAAAGAGTGTCCGAAATGTAATGTTACTATTGAAAAGGACGGTGGATGTAATCATATGGTGTGCAAAAATCAAAATTGTAAAACTGATTTTTGTTGGGTGTGTCTTGGACCTTGGGAACCACATGGTTCTAGTTGGTATAATTGTAATCGTTATGATGAAGAAGAGGCTAAGGCAGCTAGAGATGCTCAAGAAAAATCACGATCTGCGTTACAAAGATACTTATTTTATTGCAATAGATATATGAATCATATGCAGTCACTGAAATTCGAAAGTAAACTCTACGCGAGTGTGAAGGAAAAAATGGAAGAGATGCAGCAGCATAACATGTCTTGGATTGAGGTAGAATTAATTGTTGGGGCCACTAGGTAGAGGGTAGAGTAAGCTAGGTACCCCCCAAGATGTAAACTGTATTAAACATTTGAGACTGCTTATAAACATAAGGGACCTGGCCTACCCTATCGAAATTCAAAACTATCTTATTGAAAAAATTATTTACATTCTTATATCATTTCTAGGTACAATTTTTAAAGAAAGCAGTAGATATCTTGTGTTCTTGTAGACAGACACTTATGTATACTTACGTTTTTGCTTACTACGTGCGAAAGAATAACCAATCTGTGATTTTTGAGGACAACCAAAAAGATTTAGAGGGCACTACAGAACGTCTTTCCGAGTATTTAGAACGAGATATTACAAGTGAAAATCTTGCTGACATTAAACAGAAAGTTCAGGATAAATATAGGTAAGTTATAATTATCTTTATATGAAAAATAATAAAATTCTAATATTGTCAAATAAATTTTTTTTTTAAAGATATTGCGATAGTCGAAGGAAGGTGCTTTTGGAGCATGTTCACGAAGGTTATGAAAAGGATTGGTGGGATTACGTGGAATAGAGATCTGCACCAGCTTCGTTTTCAGGGCGTACCGGACAAGGTTCCTTTCTTGTCGATTTAGCCCCAGCTGTGATAAATCAAGAAAGCTGACAAGAGACATAAATAGAGCATGTCATTGAGTGATTTACGTGTTAGATATATATATGATCTGTGGCAACACATATATCGTTACTGAATTTTGAATTTATTAAAAAATTGAAATCCTATTATCATCAGGCTAAATGTAAAGTACTTTTGTATTAATTACTGATGCTAATTTGCACTCGCTGCGTGCTATTTTCATCCTTCATAAACATGCCTTGCAATAATATTTTCAAGTCTCGAATGAATTTTATATATATAGATATAAAAGAAATTGAACAATTTATCGGAAATTTGCTTAATAGTATAATACGGTTCACCTTTTCATACTATTATAAGATTCTCTGGGAAAGTATTACATAATCTTTGAAATGGAAAAGACTTTTCAAGAGTTCTTCAAATAGATAATGAAAAGGTTAATATAGCCACTAGATTACCTTAACCTTGTCTTTTATTCTCAGTCCTGTGCACTCGATTTATGAAGGGATAAAAGAAAAAAAAGGATAGTGCTGGATAAAATGTCTACCATTTTCGCTCTATTTTGGACAGTAATTGTGTCCAGGCTATAACTGCCAATTCTTTATGAGAAACTGAATTTAAGTGATCGTGTCGTCAGTATCATGTGCAATTTTTACATCAACTTATATTATTTTAGTTCTTACTTTCTATGTAATAAATTGAATATTGTTTAAACGAATAATTCTGTACAGTATAGAACATACGAGGTTTGCCTAGGCAAAATGGCGATATAGGAAGAAAAAGCTCTACCACTCGTGTATAAACGTTTACCCGGGAATATTTTACTCCTAATATTTTAAAATTTTTAATTTGTTTCTTTAGAACTTTTAAATTTGAATTTCTCAGATTAAAAAAATTTTGAAATTTTAGTTTCGGAATCTTGAAATTTAATACATATGTTATATTGTATCATATTTAATAATTAAAAATTATATCCAGTTAAATTAGTACCTCAAATTAGGATTTTGAACATTCCTTTTTCCTGCCATTTTTCCTAGGGAAACTTATCATGCTCGATATTGCATCTGTTAAAATCAAGAAAGCGAAAATCGGAATGAAAGGAGTTTTAATTTATTTCTAAGAAATTATTGAAGTTAACGCAAAAGGGTCCAACGTTTTTAACAATTTGAAATTTATTTTTGGGGTGCGGCGATGGATAAAATTTGCATATTTTTATAGAAATAATTCCTTTATATATTTAAACAAATTGTAAATGAATAATTTCAGATAGAACTTGTTTGATGTGATGTTCTCGTAATGCTGACGATATGCTTCATATATCATTAATCAAATAACTTGTGGTGAATGAATGTAGTACAATGATCACTTACTGTTATATAAGTGGGGAACGAAATAAGTTCCATTTGTACAGTTATATAGTTACATATTCACATATAAATGCATAATACATAGTTGTAATATCAATATTAGTGAACTTAAAGTAGAAACATTTGAAGGTTTATGAAAAGAAGAAAAAATTGTTGATTCTTACTATTATCCATGTTAGGAATTAAAAAGGTAAAAATACAGTTGTTTTCTGTACAGTCGCAAAATCAGAGTAAAAGTAAGAGAACTGTTAGACATGAATATAATTCGCAGCAAATTATTCTCTGGTTCGTGGTTTTATATGATACGTTTATGTAATTCATCAACTTATAAACAATGATCAGGGAATAAACAGTTCTTTATATTCAAACGTAAGAGATATTCTAAAAGAAGATCTGAAAAAGTTTCGTATATTGTCATTGGTGTAATTAGAATTCTTTTATGGAATGGACCAGGATGTTTAATACTGTTTAATTTTGTTCTGTTTTAGTTGAATTACGTATTACAATTAGGCAAAGTATTTAGTTCTGTTAAAATAAGATTCTACGAACAGGGCCGCGTCTAGAGCTATTTGAGCCTGGGTATATACATGGAAATCGCGGTCTTTCTTACATATATTTATATCATTTGGTTTATTTATTTCATGCAGTAATAACATATACTTCCATTTTGCCCAGGAGTAAACGCGGCCTTGTCTACAAGAGAATTTTGAAATTTTTGAAATCTAGTATTTTGAATAATCTAAGTTTTAGATTTTTAGAATTTTGAAGTCCGGAATTTGTGATTTCTGATATTTTGGAGTTTCGGGTTTTGAATTTTGAAATTTTTAGAACTCTGAAATTTTGCAAATTTTACGTTTTTTTAGGGGCTCACCCTGGCCCCTACCTAGTTACACCAATGTATATTGTTCGTCCTTAAAATCATTAACTATTTATTAAGATATGTGCGATAAATTTTAAGTAATTAATTTTGGACTTTTCAATTATTGTTAAACATATCCCATGAATGTAAAAGTTAAAAAAAGAGCACTAGGAACTTTTAATGGTATCAAGAACTTTGATACTACTCAAAGAAGCGCTCTCTGTTAGCATGTTTTTAATACCTATTACTTCTCAATCTGTACGCAGAAACCACGTAATATATAACATTAGTGAAATCATGTGTTTAATTCAGCAGTCAAAAGATCAATGATCTACACAATGATATTTTACTAACATTGTCACATTTAAATGAATACAAAAAGAGTCAGATAATAGTAAGTTCGCTAATTAATTATGTATTTTAGAAATTTTTAAAATACCTACATTCTGATATCGATCAATAAATCAATATATTTTGAGTAGTACATAGATTGTATTTACGTTTGAATAAGTATACTACTTTAAATAAAACTATATCAATATCTGAAAAATATATTTTTAATAATTGTAACACTACAGAATTAGTCTTTCTTTTTCTTTTTTTTTCTTTTTAATTTAAGAAAATATCTTTTAAACTGTAACGCCTAAGGTACAGTCTCTAATGACTAATCAGTGACTTCGTGCGTAGTACATACAGTGACTACAGATTTAACAAGACTAGACATACTTTTACCCCCTGTGGCTCGGGGGGCTTAGAATACGGCCACGGTATCCCCTGCCTGTCGTAAGAGGCGACTAAAAGGGGCCACACGTACACACACACACACACATCGACCACGATAACAGTATGGAGAGATAAGTTTACAGAAGTAAAAGTATGGAAAAGAAAAGAAGGAGAAATTTAAAAAATGCGCGGGGTTTGGGGTTGGCAGTGCTGCCAACCCATCCCCAATGCGCGTGGACGATAGTGTTAGTTGGGCAACATGGGGACAGATAAGTCCCCAAAAAGCGCCGGTCCCTGTGGGGGCGAAATTAGTGATAGTGATAGACATAGGCCGGTATTCAGAGTCGCAACTTATTTGTAAGCTGGTAGATTCACAGTCTCCGAATAAGCAACGTCTTAAGCATCAGATTAAGCATTTGCGTAGGAATGTAAATGCTTATCGCTGTGGATTCACAGTCGAATAAGTCCGCCTTATTTGTAGGATACGAGTTCTTATTTGGCTTCATTGAGGTTATGTTTTTAAGTCGACGATATTGAGGACTTATGCACGCGTTTGAAGGTGTTATTGTGCAGTGTTGAACGATTTATTTTGATTAATTGTGGTAAATTATTTTTAAAAAAGTACAAAATGGAGTTGGACTTTGCGGATATCGAGGACATTGATCATAATTTGTATATATATCCACGAATATCGAGACGATATATTCGAGACGGGAGTGACCCGTTTGATTGTTTTGTCTGTCCTTTCTCATGACACCCCTGTGGAATCCACAGTCTGAAGAAAAAGTAAGGTAATACTGATACTGTTTAGTCGACTGATTGATGCACAAATTAACATTGAATTATTCGATCGACACAAGTACAAGGAAATCCAGATCAGGACCCGACAGATAGTACAAAGAACGTTCGGTGTTTGGAAGCGCCGTTTTCCATGTCTTACAAGGGGTTTAACAACGAAGTTCTTATGTTCTACAGCAACGGTAGTTGCATGTGCTGTGTTGCATAATTTAGCCCTAATTTTCAATGACATTCTTGTAGAAGAAGATGAAATTGAAAACCAAAATGAAGATGGAGAAGAATTATTAGGAAACGTGGAAAATGTTAATGGCATTGATGGATTTACTAATAACATGATTCAAGTATATATATTTATATCATTATGTTCTTTAGATGCAAGCTCTGGCTTCAGGCATGTGGTAGAGAAGATCTTCCTGCTTTGGAATATGAACACTACCACAAGACCCGCAGAGTATGTAGTAAGCATTTAAAATAGTACATGGGTCCTCCTATTTTCATATCAGATACAAATATTCAAGAAGAGAGCAGTAATAATCCTGAATTTGAGCTTCCAGCAAAATTTCGTGTTGTAGACATAGCCGATAAAAATACATTTAAGTACATAATAAGTGTTTAATATATAAATACATAAGAATAAATAATTTAGATAAATGAGAATAAACATTTTTGATCTTATATGTTTGATCTTTAGCAACTGCAGGTCCATATCATCAGGGAGACATTACATCAATCCAGACGAATCCTTTTACAATTATTTATTTACTTTAGAAAACATTTTTTTTTCAAATGCACATTCTATTTTACCTCGCACCCATGTAGGTAAAAATATGTATCATTTATGTAGAAATGTAACTGGGTTTTATTCACTACATCCAATTCATTCAAACTTCTCGCTCGTTGATACAACCCAGGGACAGCGAATCGTCGACATCAAAGGTGCCGCCGGGAGTGTCGCCTCTTGTTATACTTCCTCTTTGACTTAAGCATGGACTTCACTAAGCAAAGCTTAAGCATCGCTTCCTTAACTAAGTCGGTCTTATTCGCCGACTGTGAATACATAGCGACTTAAGCATTGCTTATTCGAATAAGACTATTTTAGTCAAGAACGTCTTAAGTCTTTGCTTAAGTTGCGCCTGTGAATACGGCACCTAGGGGCAAAAATTTCGTGCCGCGAAATAGCGCCCTCTGACAGTAGAAATGGAAATTAAATTCATCACAATTTTCCGATCTCTAATGAGGTATATAGAAAATGCAGGGATGTGAGGAATGCAAGGATATAAGGATGTAAGGAATGCAGGGATATAAAAGATGTGAAAAATAATAGATACAGACTAAGAAAATTGATATTTTTTTTAGAAATATTTATTATCTTTAAATACGTGTATAAAATTTTTAAGAAACTACCACATATAATATTCATTGCTGTTTAAAAAATGTTACTGATCGGGCACTGTTGTGTCGATTTATAAATTCTAAATATTTATTATGACAATGTTTGATTGACAAGGAAAATTTATTATTTAATATATTTTCTAACTAAAATAAATTATAAATAAATACATTTAGATTGTTTCTACCTAAATTCAATACAATTTTGAGATTCCTGTTTGCTATATGTATATATTACATGTAAAAATCAATTAGGGGCCTTTAATGTTACTAATTTAAATTTGAATGTTTCCCCGCGCTTTTGTGAATTTCTAAAATATGACTTTTTGAAAACAAATCTTGAATTAAAAAAAGAAAAAGGCACCAAATTAATTTGTACACCTAATGTATGTCTAAAACATGAATTTTGAGTATTATATGAAATTATATTTTGATAACATTAAATAAAGAATCTTCTCATTAATTTAACTAGTCCAGAGCTGCAGTTATTACAAAATATGAATATAATAGGAAACTTGTTATATAAAATCTAAACTGACTGAAGACAGCTTTCCAATCACACAATTCCATTTTTTAAATATAAGTACACTGATAGGTTGTACCAGAAACATACCCTGCATCATTTAATTTCTAAGAGTTTATCAGGAGGTCACTGTTAAAATTGTTGCAACCAAACCCAAAGTAGCACCTGTCATTAAAAGACTCCTCCAGATTGCTCCACTGATCTCTTCTGCCACAGGGTATTCTATACACAACTGTTCCTAAAAACAAACACGTTTTTAAATTTAAAAAAAAGGTGAACTTTTTCAAATTTTAATTTATTGAAACTGATAAAAATATGAATATGTATTAGAAATATGTATCAGATGAATAGGTATTAGAAATAATTTTGAGTAGTGTTAATGTGACATTAAGGCTAGATTTAGGCCTAACCTAAAAAGTTAAAAATCATAAATAGAACTTATTAAATTTAAGTTTTAAATTAGCTTTAGATTTAGTTTTAATATGAAACCAAAAATGCTTACAATTATTTGTGACATTATTTTGTAAAAAATTTGTAAAAAAGGTGGAACTTACCCATCCTCCATACCCTTTGATAAAATGTGCCACCTTTTCCCCGATGAATCTTGACACATAAAGCGGCAATCTCTTTTTGAGAGCGTGCATTCGTCTGTCACGAGCCCACAGAGCAAGCCTGCCCATGAACGCGTACAAACACACGATCCTCGCCCAAGTAACACCGCCGTGTAAGAAGAGCTCATCTGCGACTCCCATGAACGCCTCGTATGCCGTATCCGGCACGACGTTCAAACGGTTCACCATGCTCGCGAACAATATGCTGTGTTTATTTAACATCTGATACACGTTGTGCCTCATGCTCCTCGATACAGGGTCCCGTGATATGAGATAGATATCTTCCTTCAGCAGATACCGTATCACGTCGTTGGCCAAACATTCCGCGGTGAGTTCTATGGAATCCTCGCAGAGATTGTACCGAGTAGAGGAGACCAAGTGTGGGAATAGATGCTGCAGTCGTATCTGGAAGAAACGTAATTTAACGGTGCTTCTGAGTTGACGTCTGCAAGCCATACGGTAGATTGACAGTTGGTTGTTACCTGACAGACTTCGATGAAAGACATAGCGGTATTGGCAGTGCCGATGGCATATCGGCACAGGGCGCCGTTATCGCCGGCAATCACTGCTCCACCGCCTCCGCTGTCGTCGGCGATCACAGACTCGTCGCAGTCGTCGTCGCAGGCTCGCTCGCTCGACGAATTCTTGTTACCGGGGGGATCGCATTCCAGGATGCCGCCCACTCTGGAATGCGGTTCCCCCCGCACTGACGCGGCCTGCCCCTCTCCGAGGATCTCATTGTTCGGTGGTGCACCGTCGTCGCCGGCCATCCTCGTGCACGACCGCCCGCACTGCTCTTCACCACCAAGATTTTACACTATTACTCGATTTTAATTTTTTTCCTCTCAAAACATGGCACCGTGGTGGAAAGTGTGGTGAATCGCCCGAAGCGCCGGGTTAACGAGCGCTGCACACGAAAAACTTTGGCTCGCTTGCCAGACGACGTAACGCTCTCTACTTTCCCGCGGCCATTTCCGAAGCCGAAGCCGAACCCGCACCCCACTTCTCTGACTGTTACTCCCCACCACTTCTTTGACGTTTCCTACCCGCTTCAACACCACTCCATTCTCTTCTATACGTATACTACTCTCTATAAGCTCACACATGTTCGGCGAGGGAAGTGCACAACGGTACCGGCTTCTATGGATCATTCACGTTTCCTCCCCACCATTGACTACTCGCGTATTCCACACAAACTCAAGCAACATCTATAGGAATTTTATACATGTGTGCGACTGGAACTATCTCCTTTCCTTTTTCGTTCGTGTCCTATCTCTGCTTCTCGGCGGAGGCGCCGTCGATAACCTCCCACCCTTCCGAAGAGTGCTCTCGCGCACGTGCACCGCCACAAGCGCGAATACCTGTGTGCGCTCTGAGAATCGAAACGAACGGAATTTTCGATGGAACGCGGAGTTCGCTTGGTATCGAGCACCGTTCCCAGCCGTATCCTTACCATTATATCTCTGAGCATGGAATGCAGCGAGGAAAGTTTGTGCATCAGAAATTGTGTACAACCATTTGGAGTTATTTTGTTAGAAAGTTTTACGCTGTGTTTGTATGATTACTAATAAATTTGGATGTATTTACTTCCTTTCCCTTATAGTTGCATCTTTAAGGAAAATGGTTCATCAGATTACAAGAAGTTGCAATACCTATGGAGATTGTGCTGGTGTAGTCAGTGAAAGCCACGTCATGGCTACTGACCCAAAGGTGACGTAGAGATGACGGTGGTATTCCAGTCATTGGTAGTTTCCCATTTCATTGACGATGCCATTCTCTTTGTTATTATGACTTCCTGCAGACGCTGTCATAATTTTTTCGATATTTGTGAATAACTGAGTATGTAGATAAATGATGTATAAAATCTCAAAATTTCAAAATTTCAAGGAAGGTTTAGCATTCAAATTTCTAACCTAGTCTATTACGTGGATGTACTGATACGCATGCGCAGTTCTCCATACAAGTGGAACTCTAGATATTAGACTCCCTCATTTTGTGCCCCAATAACCTACAAGTACCTTTTCTCTTTATATCCCAAAGGAATTATAGAGTAGCAATTTTCTTCAGAAGAAATATTATTCTCATATAAATATCTGCCAAAAATCATACTCAAGTATATAATCACTTAAGTATTTGTAACATAGCATTGATGTTTTCATCGTTACATAACAGCACGATCGTTTGGAAGGTACTTCTTAGTAGCGCAACAAGTTGAGCAGAAAAAGGTATGGGAAGATGGTGTGCAAAGTGTTCGCAGCTCGATTCACTTGTAACGAATGCGATATTACTTGTATTCGCGATGCTTCAGAATGTGGTGGCAATACGATATGTATTTCCAAGAAGGAATTATTATGTTGAAACTGGTCGGCGAGCACGCCGGCCGGCTATGATCGCCGGCGCGCGACTGTGCCCGCTCCTTTCTGCCTGTGCAACCTTCAAAGGCCACAGAATGCGTCGATGAATGAAGTAGGAAAGTTGCAGAGTGTCGGCCGACCGGATGTGTATACTAGGTGGCCGAAGAAAATGAGAGCTCCTACGTCAGTCGACATCAAACTAGTTTTACACCCCCCATCCACAGATGCAACGCTGTTATACACCGTTGTGGTAATTATTATCCAGCTGATTTAGGTGCATCTTAGTCTGATTTGTCAACCATTACGATCATACCATTTCGGTTCTGAGAAATAAAATAAGATCCGGAGTGTTTATATTACCAAATTGTTTGGTTTATATTACCTATTATTTAGGTATCTTTGTATTCAACATGCAAATCATTTTAAGTTTAAGCAACATGTGGTCGAGGTTAAGAATGTTTGAGAATGTAAACCGACAATTTCTATTGAAGTTAGCAGGTGCAGTGGCTATTATTGTCCTGTTATTCGATGCGGTTTACCTTTCTATACCAAACGTGGATAATCTTACGTGCAAGGTAGTAAAGCCTAGCGGCCGGACATGGATAAATTGACGATATGAGTCATGTGTAAATGACATCTAATTGGGTCATTATCTTACAGTTGCTTCTTAAAGTGGCAAGAGACGCAATAAGGAGCTTTGTGGATCACGAACGTTTCATATGAGAAATTCTTTGAATTGATCGTTATGTTCGAACTTTAGGTAAAATAGTGTTCGTTGTTTACATCATTGGACGAGGTGAAGAATATCGTGTACAGTTCTGAGCATTGTAAGCTTTCCTAGGGCAAATGGTAGTATAGAGAAATACCATTTTCCCTAGGAAACTCCACCATGCTCAATGCTGTACATCCACACAAATGCTCAATTTATCATGTTTTACATTATCCTCTCATACCGTGGATAAGGTCGCGCATATCGTCTCTTCTGATAACTCATCTGTTCTTGAATTACCTTAGATTGGTAACAATCGTGCTTTGTCTCTGTCCGTTTCATTAAACCGTCAGGCAACGGTAACAAACATATCAAGTATCCTGACAGATCCGTCAAGACGAACCCCCACGTGTGTTTATCATCGGTCTGAACGATTGAAAATACAATCACTGAACATTGTTTTCTGTTTGCGAAGTGGACCGTGGGAATACAAGAGAGTGAACGGCACACAGTATTTCAGGGGAACTCGTGGCAACCGGCTCTCGGTGGCTTTTCTTACCGTCATTCATGATACTATGGTACGGCAATAGGATGATTGCCTGACGGCCGGTGCCTAAAGTGGATAAAGTCTTCTATAGTAATTTAACTCGAACAGGGCACAGGGGTGCAGAGACTGGGCCCTTCGGTGATCTCTTCTTTTTTACTTAACCATATTCATGACTATACAATATCATTTCTGCCGGATATGTGTATTATAATTAATTATCCTTAGTAATTAATTGTACTTTCAAACTTATAACGGATAAAAAAAATTCAGGCTCAAGGTGGTATAGTTACCCAAAGCTATTTTCTTAGGTCCAGGTCAATTATATTAATTCTGGGGGCTAATCTCAAATTTTCGAAGCCCCTTTGGTTGAAAAATTGAATTTTATTCTAATTTCATAGTAAGTGGAAAGCTTAAAATGGAGCCCCCTGAAAAGTGGGCCCAGGGTTATAGCCCCCTTTAGAGCCCCTTGATTCGGCGCTGCTTGATCATCTTATCTATCCCAATGATACTTGTAGCCACAAAAACAAAATGGTTACCAGCATCCGAATGATCGATCGGTAAGATCCAAGGAGTAACTTCCGTTCTCGGTGTATAATTTATTTATTCACCAGGCAAGTTCGTGCTTCACTTAGTTATCCTTAACCGTGAGTTTTATTACTTCCGTGAAGCTGTCAATGGTCGGCTATTATCCCCAATCGCGTGTGGTACACCTTTTTTTCTAGTGTCACGGGACGGCGGGAGGGGAGGGAGGTCGCCTGATTTCGCGGTCCCGTGCGACGTCCCTGAGTTGGCAGTGGTACATACTAACAGATTGACAGACGTGCTCGCCGCGAACTGACCCCTTCGTAGTGATTTAGTTATCTCTCTATCGACGCCTCGTACACTTATATAAAGAAATAAGGGAAATAGTGTTACCGGAAGTGTTGTATAGGAAGGTAATACGTGCTCTTCACTGAATGAGCTTCTGCCGGTTGGGGATCGTCTTGAGACGAGATATTATGATTAGGTAAGTGTATCTACTTTGTTTCCTTATTGTTTTTTTCTGGATTTCTGTTTGAAGTGTTTAGCCGCATATGAGCCGTACTGGGGTTAAAGTGATTAATTTAGCACTAATTTATTAATTTTTCTAGTTTTTGGTTTCTGCAGTTAATCAATTTTGCAAATGAGCTGGACATACATGTAAGGTCTTGAATTTTTAATATGAAATTCTAACATTTTGTTTTGTGTGGTTTATACTCTTAACGTTAGAATACTATGGGCGGGTATGTACTTACACTCGGCATGTTACTACATCAAAATTTCTCTACGCTTTCCCGCGAAATTTTAAATTTAAAGTTAGTTATTTTACTATGTACCAAAGATGCGAGAACGCTTAATAAAATTAAATTTTGGTACATTTAGAAAATAATAACATAAATCAGAAATATAACATATTTTATATCATATTAATTATTGTACACTTAATGGACTATAGTTCAGCGTGAACATAAGTTTTATAGCGTACTGAGAAATTGAAAAAATTCTTATGACGCGCTTTATCGCGAGATTGTTTCGTTGCAATCGCCTGAGAACAAACCTGCAATATCTCGGAGGTATGCCTGTGCATAAACAATGCAATTGGAGCCATAAATTTCCAAACAATATAAGTCCACTTTTTAAGACCTAGTGAATAATAACATTTAAAATAACACAATAGCTTTGTCCCTAGAATACTGTTGAGGAAAATCAAAATAATTAATGAGGAATTAAAGAAGATCAAAATAGAAACTGGTTTTTTCCTCAAAATATTGGTTGATGGGCTTTTGCTGTTCTGAGATTTATAGTTTCAGTTGCTATTTAAAAAAATGAATTCGCTTTTGTAGATTGAGTGTTTGATAATATGCATAAATTAATTCGAATAAAATTTGTATAGTTCCGAATTAACGCATATTAAGATAAATTTTTTTAATTACGTTCTTTTTGTATAGATGACGCAGAAATTCGAATTATTGAACACAAGAAATTTTACATTATTAATGTAGATACTTACAAATTATGTATTTTAATTTAATACTTATTGTTGCTTTAACGAAATATTTCTTAATTCTTTGTACGCGAAGTTTCTTAACATTCAACAAAGTAAGAGAGATGAAATTCCTCGCGAAATCAGCTCCGTTAATAAGCCGAGTAGATTTCGAGCGGAAATAGATCATACCGACTGTTTGCAACACGTATGAACACTTATGCTCAACGTAATCGTGTTTAAAGTTCATAATTTTCTAATCGGAAGTAATTTTACATTATTAACTCTATAACTGTTAAGCTGGGGTCTATCTGACCCATAACGTGAAACTGCTCGTTAATTAGTGATTTAAACGAAAAATAAAGTACGTTAAAAAAAAAAAA